GCAAGGTGTGAGAGGACAAGCTCCCTGAGGGCTAAGAGCTGGATGGTGACCTGGCAGCACTTGCTCAAACTGATTGCCTGTATTTGAGACTGGTTCTCTCTGTTCTCTGCAGGCACCTTCTAATCCCTCTGCCTCAGTCTTCCCACTGCAGAAGGGAAAAGCAGCAGGTGATTTTGGCTGTGGAATAACTAACTGTAACTCTGGAGATACAAGGGGCAAGACAGAAGAGAGGAAGAAAGAACCAACATGCGATACTTGTGCCAATAAAAATGTGTCACATCAAGCAAGAACCACAGTGATGCTTCTCCAACGTGATGTTTCCTTCCTGAAGGAGAATCAGGGTGGCAAGAATGATGAGCAGGTGTCGGATGGGCAAGAAACTGTAGCACTAATGTCTGCAAATGGGCAGCTTAGAAGCTGCTGACTTTAGTGCTGTTAATAAAGATCCTCCTGAGCAGATCATTCTGTACGTGATGCTGGGAACCAGTACAGGGAAGGAACACAGCCAACATCTATTTCTGCCTGGAAAAAGCAAACAAGCCAACACACACACACACACACACACACACACATACACACACTCTGTGATCACTGTGATTCCCAGAGAGTATTAGTAAAGGACAAAACCTGCACAACTGCCATAAATTATAAAAGCCTCCCTCAATCTTAGTTAATTCTCTTGTAAAAAGGGAGGGAAAAATCTGGAGCAGCTCAGCATGAAAATAATTGTGGGAGGGTTAATAAAGAGACAGCACTGAGGTATCTAGTTGCTAGCCCTGATATCATTAAGTAAGTGCACTAGAAATGTCGAGGTAAATGCATAGCAGTGAATCACAGTCAGGCATGATTAACCTTGGGTAGTCTGAACTGGAAATCATTTACAAACACAAAGGTACTGAAGAACATTGCAACAGACAGTACATCGAAAGTCATTCCAAGAGCAGGAGTCATGCTGAGCGCTTTGTATATTTGTGCAGTTTTTTAATTATTGTCATATTTTGCACGTGGGAAGGTGGAAGATCCGAGATCCCCAGCTCAGGGAAGAGTTTCTGTGACCCTGCAAGGTCCTCTGAAACATATGCACTGCTTGTAAGCACTTTGCCTTGTACAGAAGTTTTATAAAATTAAAAGTTTTAATTGCAACAATTAAGGCCTAATGAAAGGACATAGAAATTTGGCAAAAAAAGACTAAAATCCTGTAACAGCAAATATTGAAGAACCAAAGACCACTCTTCCTTCATCCACACCCATGTCTTAATGCAGCCCTCAAGACTCTGGTGGTAAAACTGGGAGGGGGGAAAGGATTTTAATAAAAATAAGATGTTTTTAACAAAATTTGTGATAATTTTCTGACCCTTGAAAATTGACTCTCTGATCACAAAGCCAAAAAGAACAAAACATCACTAGATATTTCTGATCAGTCCTAAAAGTTTGGAAATGCTCAGCAAAGCTATAACCATATGACCCATAGAGAGCTATATATATTAAGTACAATGACAATAAAACCCCTTCAAATACAGAATGCTCGTGGCTTTAAAAGCATTCAATTACAAGGAACATGAATCAACCTGGGAAGACTCGAGACAGCTTAACACTTTTGTATTGTTTGCACCTTTTATTGCGATTTTTCAGTACCAGTTCAGGTGATTATTGTGAATGCCATGGCAGTGAAAGCCATAGGAATATTGTACAAAACGATACAGCTCTGCTTAGATTTTCCTTGCCACTTTTGCATCAGTTTTATTCTCCTAAATCCATCTCCACTATCCTTAGCACTGCAATAACTCCCCTTATTCATCTGCCTCATTAGGATGCTACATCAATTACTATGCATCATCTAATGCCTACTATTTTTTTAATGTTTAATATTATAATCAGTGGAGAGTTGTGTTGTAAAGAGTCTATCTAGGGAGTCAGACATACAGGAAAAGCCCCCACGCATGATGCTGTACCCAAAGCCTCTGAACAGAGCACTACACATCCTGCACTCTCTGAGAGGTTACAGCTAGCACCTCTGGTCCTGGGTCCTCTGGTAGCACCTCCAGGTCTCCGGGTCATGCTTGTTTTTGAGGACCTGGAGCCCAGTGGGCAAGGCATGAGGGTTATCTTGAGGGGAGATGTCATGTTAATTCTTGGTTCACAAATGCCTCACTGCCTGATTCAGGAGGGTAATCAACCTGTCCTTTGAAGCCGCATAAATAATGTTTGGATGGAGGTAGTATATCTGCACCAGGGATGAATTAACTGCCATTGAATCATATAAACTTGGCTAGAGTGTGAGGCTTGTAACATGCCTGAGGAAAATAAAAAAGACATTTTCAAGAAAAAAACATTAATTTAATCCTCTCCATCTTTTCTCTAGTTTTCCTCTAGGCAAACGTGACTTTGCGGGGTTTTTTTATGTTGCTGTTTGTTCCATTTTCACAGGGAAACACTGATTCACAGTGAGGTGCATCCACAGTTTCTCTTTGTCAGGCTTGAACGTGCCATCTCTCTCCTATATCAATGCTGCTCCTTTTTAGCACCCCTGCCAGGAGATGCCAACTGGGCTCCTTTGACACTCTGAGGGGAATGACATCTTGCAAGAGGGTACAGCCTTTTTATCCACAGGGACCCCTGGCAGCATTCGTGCCCTCTGCACTCCCCTGAGGTTCCCAGCTGGGCACTGCTGGAGCTCTTGCCCAGGTATGGTCTTCTCCACGTGCACCAGGGAAGAGAACATCCATCTGCAGACAGACCAGGCACACAGGCTCACACATCCATGTGCAGGTGTGCACTGCAGGTTCTCCTGGCTGTGCATTGTGGGCACAGGTGTGAATTTCTACAGCCCCAAAAGAGCAGAGGAATTCTGTATTCATGACTGCCTGAGATACCAGGGATAAAAAACTGTCCTAGAAGATGGTGGATAAGAGAAGAAACCCAGGAAAGGCCAGCAGCAGGGTAGCATAAAGAGAACTGGGGCATTGGTGTGTGCCTACGTACCAGCGTGAGTTACTTTCCTTCACTAACACTCACAGATCCAGCCCTCTGCTGAGTAACACGTACATCTTTAGTTTGCTAATGGCTTTTACTTGTCTTCAGTTTTTGATCTCTGTTTCTCTTTTCTACTGTTCTCAGTTTTGTATCTCTTTCCAAAAATTTGATGTTTGCAATTCCTTTTCCTACTTCTTAACTATATCCCTTTCACTTTCTTCCTTTTCTTTTGACACAACACTTGTTGGTTCCTTTCTTCTCATCTCCTCTTTTCCCTCCTGCCTCCGCTTCTGTGGAATTTCTCTAACTAGAAGGACTTTTGGTTCCTGAATCCAGTCATTTATCAACAGTAGCCAGTTGTTTCTGCCTCTAAAAATTGTTCTGGGAACCAATGCATGCTGTGGGTAGCCTTAGAATATAGTAACAATTTACAGCTAAGCATTATAAATATACTGTATCTAGCAGACAGCACAGTTTCAGAAGGTAGCAAGATCTCTAATTAGCGCAGGAACCTTTCACACCTAACCAGATTCTGACACACTGTATCAGTCTGCAGTCTCAAATCCAACCCATAACTATATTGGGGTGTACCTCTGAACCCGTACTTTGGGTTCAGAGATGGCACTGCTGTGGTTCAGAAACCTTACAGGATTTTAATCCAGTGAAGGAGAAGAAAAGAGCATTTCTCATCAATAAAATAATACCTAGAAAAAAACAAACCTGTGGAGAATGGCTTATGTTTCACATATTGCTAAATATCAGTAAAAATAAATGTGTTCATTTCTCCAAAATACCTCCAGATGGCATTAAAACCCTTCTTCTTTTGGTCTTTATTGCAATATTATTTTTAAAAATGGTAATTATTGAAATAATTCTATTAAACGTTCCCAGCAATCATACTATCAGAAGGCATAAGGTTACTAATGCTTAATTCATTTAATAAGTTTGCCTAAATGTGCTTGCATACTATAATTACATTCCACAACACAATCTGCAGGACAAGCCATTTCTTACACCGCGTCAAATCTTTTTCTAGATTAATTTCCAGAAGATTTTTAATGCGTATTTGCAGCAGAAATCGAAACGTCCCACAATAAATCATTGTTATTGTACCTCCTTCTGTGACTACTTTTGGCCATGTAACAAATGGTGACACCTTGTGAGATTTACATGATATAATGCTCTGAATTTAAATAACAGGAATCAGAAAACATAAATTATGGGCCAGATGCACTCTAAAACTCACATGACTGACTGCTACAAGAACTTCCCTCTTTCAAATGGGATTAAAAAGGTGAATGATTTTTCAGAAATTCATAATGCTCCTGCCTGGTAGTTATTAAAAGAATTCACTTATCTCGCTTAGTTTGGAAGACTGATGCTATTTTAAATTTTTTTTTAACTTGCAGCCCATCTGTTTCATAGACTGGTTTATGTTGGCAAAACAATTCAGTCTTTTGTATACTAGAGTAAAAAAAATGGTAAAAGCTTCTATTGTTGCAGTAAAGTGAAGGTGAACACTGATATATTACAAGGGCCTGTTCCTATCTATTTCTTGACTTCTTTTGTTAATTCAAAAACATCAACAAAATCGTGAGAGACCAGAGATAACTGTAATTGGATTTCAAGTAATTCAGAGGTGAAGCTGCAGACTGCAGTCTTTTAAAATTACATCAGTACATCAAAGGCATATGTGACATGGTGTTTTTTAGCAAGTGTGACAAACTCCAGCAGCATTAAGGTAATGCTGAAGTAAGGTTCTAAAGGCCAGCCTTGCACACCCACAAAAATAATCTCATATCTATTCAGCGTGATATGGAGCCATTTCACTTGCAAAGATTGCTGACTTACTAGCATGCAGAAGTTCTAGGAATAATTAATGTTTAGTCATTATCTAAAAAGCTGTTTTACGAAAAGCATCAGTGAAAGAGCTTTATCTTAATGAAAACAAACAAATTCTATTTTCCCCAACAAATCTGATAAAAACACAGCTGCCTTCTCCAATCTTAAACGGAAATGTGACTTACGATGTATGGGTTGCGCTTTTCTCTGGGGTCTTTGGCTCTACATCACTTTTCCCTTTAAAAGAGAAGAAGAAAATGACATCAGAAATGGGTCAGTATGGAAACTGCTCAGATGTGACACATCAATGCGTTATTCACTGCCAACACTGACCACTCCTGCCACACACACGGACAGCTGTGGAGGCAGCCACAGGGCTGCAGGGGCACTACTGCAATCCTGACCTGACTTTTCTTGTCACTGACACGTGACAAATGTCAGGCAGAGAAACTCCACAAGAGGAGATACTTAGAGGATGCGGACTTTACCAGGGACAGCAGACCCTGGAGCAATGGAAAGGGAAGGAAATTTCTCTGTGGCCCTACAGCTCTGCTATCGAGAGTGTATTCCATTCACCATGCGCTTTCTCCAAAACCCTGCTCAAGGAACAGTAATCATTTCAGAAAAAAACAAAACAGCAACAGCAGGAGACAGTAAGGCAGTGATCAGGGCACAATTCTGCCAATGGATATTTTTGTTCACATTCATTTTGACATGTTAAGGATTTAATCTTTAGCTTCTGTTCGTGGGGGCTAGGGAAGCCCTCTTTGCTATGTTCGCTTAGGCACTCAATGCCAGAAGTCAAGTACCCAAATGCTTGAGAAGCATCAGAGGCCCAAGGGATGCCTCTCCACATTTCCTTATGACTCATACGGGTCCTGGCATGCTGGCTTGTGATGATCCCTGTCCTGGGTCCAAAATAATGTATTTTCCCAACACAACTTAGTTACATAGCACAGACAGTGGGAGGGAGGCTGCTGGCAGGTGGGGTGGCACTGCTTCTGCTGAGTCAGGCCTAGTCCTTCTCCCTCCTTTCTCCCCCTCTGCCAAAAAACAGTAAGGCTGATGTTGTTTGCTGTAATGAATGTTCTCTGGGTAACCTGAGAGAGCTGCAATCCAGTGTAAGACTTCTGTGTAGCTCTACCATGGATTTAGAGTCATTTGAATCACCTTGAACTTGAATTCTGGGCCTAGGGAGTGTGCAGATGCTGCTCCTCTTGTGTGTCACTGGATGCTAATAGCTGTCTACACATGAGTTTATGTTGCCTAGCAGACAAGGAGGCGCAGAGGTTGAATGTGACTGTTTTACTGATGGGTGTCTTTTTCTCCATTACCTTTTAATGAGCTGTGTTAAGTCAAAAATCCACCTATTTCTTCTGAAAAAAATGTGAGAAATTCTTATGTTGGTTAGGCTGTTTTGGTGTTGCCTGATATGCTGCTCATTGAGTTGGGTGGGTTTTGGATCAGTCCCAACCTAGTCCATGCACATGAGCATTACGCATCATCTGTCTGCTGCTGACAAAGACCTCACTCTCAGCTTCCACAGAGCAGCGGCTGTAAGGGCACCTCTGGAAAACTTGCTGCTGCCTTCAGAAGAGGCAGGATTCTGCTACCAGTGTTCTTCCACTGCTGTACAGAAGGAAGCTGAAGGACACTCTGGACAGTGACCTTCTGGAGGTCGCTGTCTCGTAGTGGAAGTTCCAGATATCGCTAACACCTTGACACAGTGCTTTTAGATCTCATCCTTCCCTCTGGTAAAGTTTATGTCTACCCAGCTAAGGTGCCTAAATTTTACTGAACAGGATGAGGAAAGCTCTGGATGACTTCAAAGCCACCAATGCCTTCATGGACCCCTAGGAAAACTCAGAATTCACTGTAAGAGGGCAGCTAAAGCCACCTAAAATTTAGGCATGAGCAGGGCATCCACACAGGATGGAATACATCCACTCCACAATCTCTAGGTCACCCTTCACTTTCAGCAGAGACCTCAGAAAGTATATCCAGATGGTGAACTTGCTGGCTAGGAAGCTGTTGCTACAATATACGTTTGTCAGCCTTCCGGAGCCTGGAGCCCTGGAGCTCATCTGCATTATGGAAATTTGGAACAAGAAACCAACAGTAACAGTTGGCATATATTCAAGGATTTTCTATCTGTAACTTAGGTCTTTTCTAAGTGATGAATTATTACCATGAGCACTGGTTTGCTTGAGTGTGAGAGGGAATATGGATTCCTGAGTGCTTTGCCAGCAGAGTTCACATCAGTTCTACTTTCAGCAACGTATGCTAATGCAGCAACAAGGGAAACAGCATACGTACTGTGAGGAAACAGAATGTCTGTGATTTAGCCAAACTGGATATTAATGGATTACCCTACCGTAAGCATTTGTGGCTGCTTTTATGCTAATTGTCAGTTAACATACTTCTGTCTGGAGAGGAAGGACGAAGCCTGTACAGATGGTAGAAATGCATCAGTCCAGCCTATCAGAGTAGAAAATCTGGCCATTAATGCTTTATCAGTTCTTACCAACTTCATTCTCACTTTACTGAATCTTACAAATTTTACAAATGTGTATAGCCTAAGCATAGTTGAATGTCACAGACAGGGTAAAGATAATATTTTTGGTTAAGGGAATACAAAATATAATTACCTGTTACAATAACTTGGCTATTTTACCCTCACTCTTGGCCAGATTTGGTTTTGATTTTTTCATGTAACCCGTCAAATGCATGCAGGTACCATTGTGGGAGGCTGGCATTTGTTGAACTGCTATGTCTTCTCTAGTTTTGACTTCTTTTTATGGGTAACTTTGTGCCAACCTTTATTTTTCTTAGCCTTTTTTCTTAACAAAGAACATGCTACCCACCTTGCTAAGGGATTGCTGTTAGCACACTTTGTTTCACAAGCTAAGCACTGTGTATGCCTCCTGAAACAGATGAGTGTGTGTCAGCAGGTGTATGCAGAAAACACACAGTGGAAACAGCCAGTCCACAGAACCTTAGCCACAGAACTGGGAGGACTTTCCTAGTTTCTGCCTCATCTCATGTGACTTCTTTCCTGACCTTTTTAGATACAAGCAGTAGATGTGTCCAGATTTCTTGAATTTCAAAATAAATTTCAAGTGAACTTTTGTAGGATTTCCCCTGTTGAATAGTGGGTGGCCAGAAAAGGAGTTCTCTCCTCTTAGTTGGAATTTTGGTGAATCACTCCACCGATTAAGTTTCCCTTTCTGGGTAACAGGGATAAATGATATTTATTGTGATGGAGTAGAATAATTTCAGCCATTATGAGTTTTTAAATGCTTTGATTTCCTTGTGGGGGAAGGATGACAGAAATGCAAATGCAATCCACGAGAAAGACAATGTTGGCAGCTGCAGTAAAACCATTGCAGATGACAGGCTCAAAAGCCACTCCAAAGAAGTCAGGGTGCAATGGGAAAAACCAGCTAACTGGGACTCTGAAGATGTGCAGTTGTATAACACAATACATTGACCATTAGGGTTCTTTTTCACAGAGTAATTTGCTAGTATTTCCTGGCAGGATGTGGGGACTCATGGAGAGAGCAGCCCACACTGGAGCAGGTTTGCTGGCAGGACCTGTGACCCCGTGTGGTACCCATGCTGGAGTAGCCTGCTCCTGAAGGACTGCAGCCTGTGGAGGAGACCCATGCTGGAGCAGTTTATGAAGAAGCAGAGCCTGTGGGAAGGACTTCACAAGAAGCTCATGAAGGACTGTCTCCTGTGGGAGGGACCACACACTGGAGCAGGGAAGAATGTGAGTAGTCTCCTCCCTGAGGAGGAAGGAGTCTCAGAGACATTCCTTGGTCCCCTGCACTGCTGGTGGGGAGGAGGTAGAGAATTTGGGAGTGAAGTTGAGCCCAGGATGAAGAGATGGGTGAGGAGAAGATGCTTTTAAGATCTGATTTTATTTCTCATTGTCCTACTCTGATTTGATTAGTAATAAGTTAAATTTATTTTCTCAAGTTGAGTCTGTTTTGCTCATGAAAGTAATTGGTGAGTGACGTCTCCCTATTTTTATCTCCACCCATGATCCTCTTGTATTTTCTCTTCTGTGTCCAGGAGAGTAATAGAGCAGCTTTGGTGAGCACATGGTGTCCAGTCAGGGTCAATCCACCCCACATCTGAATAATTTTTTCCCAAATTTCCTTTGAGTTTGACATACAGGGCTGGTAAAGTCTATGTCTCATTCTAACTGTGTTTTGTCTGATATCTTATTGCAGCGCCTCAAGGGGAATTCTCATGGATACAGCTCTCAGAGGTAGTCAAACTCTCTCTGTGATGTTAGAAAAAGTGTCTGGGCATCTGACAGTGACCCTAAGTTCATTTGCTACCAATGAAGGTAATATTTCTGCCTGGGTCCAGCTGTTCTTTGGTTTGGTTGCCATCACTTAGGCAGTACCAAGTGCAGCTTCTGCCCAGCTGCAGATTTTGCTAAGCAGGATGAATGAGGAGAGGAGAAACTGGAGGTATTGGGGTATGGGAGGGATGGGGGAATTGGAAGTGAAGTGGGGTCGGAGACCACAGGAGCAAGAAGCAGGGAAAAGTTGTGAGGCCATAGGATCAATTTTGTAATACATGGGAATGCAGGTTACGTTAAATATGCAGAACAACCTATTTTATTCAAGTGTTGGAAGAAGGAAATACTCAGCTAGGACCAAAGCTGGCTAAATACTGTGGCCTCTGATGTCATTGCAAAGCTCTCAGCTCAGCCAGTGTGTTTGTCATGCTTGTGCCTCTGCCTGTGTTTGCATAGCCCTCTCTATTATGGTTCTTTTGTGCTTCTTTCTCTCATTACTGTATTCATTATTTTCTGACAGAACCTCATACCCTTTGCCTTTTGTTATTTCCTTCGTGCTGGTACTTGCAGCAATATCAAATCAATGCCAGCAATTAAGTGACACCACTGCACGTTTCTTCACAACATTGTCTTCCTCATGCTGACCTTTCCCTGGTGAAGAGCTACACCATTTTAAAAGCCTACATCTCCTAGTCTTGTCTCTCAGGATGTCTTTTCCCTCAAACAGTGGGCGACCAGACCCTTTCAAAGCCCTAGCTACGAGCTCAGGGCATTTTTCATCTTCAGTCACAGCCCTGCAATTTGCAAACTGGGCTCTGTGCTGGCTGACAGGTCAGGAAGCTAGCAAAATAATTCTTTTGGTTGTGATGATTTTATGTGGAAAGCAGGGTAGAATCATGTATTTTTAATATGCAAGACAACATCAACAAGCATCAGAGGTGTCAAGGGAGAGGATTAATATTTTGTTTTACAGAACAACTCAATCTTCCTGTTCAATATAGATGCTAAGTTTTTTTACCTAAATGTAATTAAAGTGCTACTGATCTGCACCATGATTTGTAAACTGGAATCCACTGGAAAGCCCTGAGCAGGAGACACACAAGCACCCATCACTCCCCTACCCACTCTGCTAGCCAAAAAGAGCCACGGCCATAGGGTCTTTGAAATGTTTTCTAGAGTTAGTTTGGCCAGATTTATGTAGTTTATTACTGTGCAATGGCCACCAAATATACCACTGCATATGAAAGATAAATTGTAACAAGTTTTCTTGCATAATTTTCTGTCAGTCTGGATCTGACTGTGCAAGTAGGTCAGGTCTTTTCTGGCTTTCCAAAAAAACCACTCTTTTGCTCTTTCAGTCTTTCTCATTTACATAATGGAACAGCCATGATGAAATGAAAACTTTTTGTTCTTCCCAGGCCACCAAAAGAGCTGACATTTTGATGGTCACTTTTCAGTTCTCCATATTTGTCCATAGCTGAGTACTGCCTGCTGAGGCTCTGTACTGTCTCAGTCTGCCACTGACCCCTTACTTCATCAGTCACTTCTTTCTCAAAGTCATTGTCTACCCCTCCACCCAGTGAAGCCAGAAAATGAGTTGGTACTTACTTGTATTGCTGTGTCCTGTGGATCCCTGTTGTGACTCCTACAGTAATAACAGAAAAAAGGGAAGGTGAATTATTTTTTCAGCATTTTTTTTTGCCGCAATACTTACTTGGACATTACCTTAACAGTACAAACAGCACTGATTATTGTTCATTTGGTTTCAAAGTAATTTTCATTTACAAGAATAAGTCAAATATTTCTTGGAAAATCCATTAATTCTTAGGCTTGTAAACTTATTTCACAACAACCCTTTAATGGTGCAATTCCTTGTATAGCTATTACAACTCTCCCGCTCACTATTCATGTATTGATCAGCCAAAACTCATCTATTATCTTCTACAAGTTCAGATGAGAAGACAGAGGGAAGGCCAATATTGTTTCATGGACCATTGGATTCGTGAGGTAGTAGCACAGCTGGTCTTTTCTTTTCCCGTGTTGACATTGACAGCATCAGAGAATGAAAATACAGACCAGTTCTGGGTCCCTGAGATTACAAGGTCGACCTCATATGACAACAGCAATACCTGTGAATGTGGTGCAATAAATCAGACCACTTTTCCCTCAAGTGAAAATGTTAGTTCACTGTGTTTTACTCACAGAATTTGTTTGCATTCATAAAAATATTTTTAAAAGCCTATAAATTCAAATATAAACCGTAACAAAAAGATAATTAAATCAAGGGAAAAAAATAATACTTTGCCATGGAACGGCAGCAGGAAAAGTATCCTGTATGTAACTTTGCTTCTGAATAACCCAGACACACAGGAATACCACCTCATATCCATGCTGCAGCTAGAGCTGCAGTTCAGGCTGTTCAGAGAGGCCAGGCACCCACAGGAACACGTGTGATCATTTTTGGTGAGGAGCTGGGCACTGGACTTGATCTCTGGTCCACAGGGGCAGAGGGATGAGCCAAACACACAGCTTATGGAGAGAGGAAAATGTAGGTTCCCCAGTGATTCGAGGGTGCTCTGACTTTGTTGGGCTGAGATTGTGCTGCTGAGTCACTCAGGAGAATTCCTCAGGGCCTTGGGGACCCAAGAGCTCCTTGGACCCTCTAAAGAGAGGTTGGCTGGACAGCAGGCCCTGGCATCTTGAGGGCTCAGCTCATCAGAATCCCTCCATCTGCACATTTTGCTCTGTCCAGACTGCATGGCTTTGATCTGTAATTTTAATACCATAATACACATCTGCAACTCACTTCCATCATAAATACCTTTAATGTGAGATGTCAAAATTTTGGGCAAGCCCCAAGAGTTTCTACCTTCTACTGCAATATAAAAAGATCTGTAGCATGTTTCACATGCCAAGAACAATTTCTCAGTAGTTTGAAATTGTGTACTTTTGACAAATTGCATCAGCTTTTTGTGAATGTTTCTGATGAAGAGAGATTAAAGCCTGTTTTTTTTCTAGTGACTGAATGTAATCTTAAAAAGTCAAGATCAGCTTGCAGTGTTGATGTAGTGGAATGTACACTTGAATTTAAATGCTTTTCTTGTAGCCAACCACACTCCCAATAAAAGTTGCTTTTAGAGCATGTTCAGTTTTGAAAACAGAGAATTTATGTACCTGGAGAAGTTCAGGGAAATACAATATTTTTGTGGGAAATATCCTTGTATTTGTAAAACTGTTTGAAATTTCTGAACAAGGATCTTGCTCCCTATTTTAACTTTTCATTAACCTCTGGAAGAATGCACCCTCCCCTTTAACTGCTGAGCACAGTATCTTGCCTCTGCAAGTAATAGTAAAATAATAAAAATATTTTAGTAAAATAAAAATAGTAAAAATAACTCATAGACAAATACAGAATGTTCCAACTAATGGAGGAACAAAAAGAATGCAACTTTAAAAAAAAGGTGAAGCTTTCATTTCTGAAGATTATTGTCCAGTGCATTTCCTCCAGCTTGTTAAAATCAACGAGAAAGGAAAAAGCAAATGAATTGCTCTTGTAAGGAACAACATCACTATGATAACTTGGCGTCTGCTGAGAGTAATCACCCAATAGCTTTGTGACAAGAAACCAGTTCTCTTGGAGTGGCTAAATTAATTCTCAAATAATAAAACAATGGCTGATCCCATAATATCACATATGCATAACAAGAAATCAAACACCTGATCAAACTATCAAGACAAGAAATCACAAAAAAAAAAATAAATGAAGAAAGAGAGCAAATCAGGCAGCAGAATTAACAGCATTTTTTCCTGCACAAGAGAATTAATGCTTGAACATGAAAGCTCATCCACACAAGCATCAAGTGAGCTCTTATTTACAAATTTAATTATTCATTTAAACTTTACTTATCAAGATGCTTTTAATAAAATTAAAATCAAGAAATGCCTGATCATTCGTACATAACAAAGTGTGGCAGAGATAGGAGAAAGGAAAGCATACATAGACTGTCACATCACACATTCAATCAATTATCCTTAAGCTTTGAAAAACAAGAAATAAAGAGACTGTCATTGCCCTTTCCTAGTAAATTCAAGAGTACAAATTAATTCCAGAGAGAAAGAAAATTCAAAGTTAAGGATGAAATGTAACTTTATGCCCTCCATTACATAAAGGACACATCGCTAGTGCTGTTTCTCCAGCAGCGTAGTACTTGGACACCAACTGGGCACTGCCACGTGTCAAACCTGACCCAGCTCTCCTCCCATTTTTGTGAATCAATGCAGACCTCCCATGTTAATAAGGCATGTTTATATAGAAGTACAGCCTACGCACATCCATCTCCTCCATCAAATGAGCATTTAGTTATATTGATCAATATATCCACATGTGCAGTTTCAAATGTGCAATTCTGTTATATTTGTGATATATAAATCTCAGATACTTAGCTTTTATTACTAGACTGATTTCAAAACCACTCTAGGTATAGTTTCTGTGGCCTTTGCGACTTTAATAGCCTAATTAATAAATTTCAAGTTTCAAGCTGTCAGATCGCTAATTACTTGAATTGCAGGTTAAAAGCAGTGTGGCGTGAATGCAAACTAATGATGCTGACACTCAGTTTTTACAGACAGAAAAGTAGTTATGATTTACATCCTTGTAACAGGGCAGGAGTCCTACAAGCTCCTCTTTTTCCCATTCCCAAAATGATGAGAATTTTTATGTTTGGGAACTGTCTTCTGTTAAAAGTGAGTGCAGCCTACTTGCTTCTCTTGCTGGAAGAGTCTTTGCTAATGAAGTGAACTAATGTCTCAACACTGCCATTAAGACTGAAAAGTAATTCATGTTACCATGCATGACTTGGAACTCAGAGATGAAGCTGTTGCCCTGATTTTAGCCTTTCAGTCTCTTTATTGGCCTTGGTCACTATTTAACTGACAAAACCATTTATCTGAATAATGTGAGATCAATGGAAGTTTGGTGTGGCCTTCAGGTTTTAAAAAAGTAGGGACAGCTACATAGTTTACCTCTGGGAAAGCTTTCTAAGAGCTATGGAGACATTTCCTATGAGGTCCAATAAAGATTTTACACCATGCTTTTTTAAAAGCAATAGCTAGCTTATGAAGGTTTGAAAAACATGTTTGAAAAATCAGAAAACCATTTTTTTTGCATTTTGGAGCCTGAAAAACAGATGCTTTCTGAAGTCTGTGACTGTACAGATTACCAGATTAAGCCACAGAATATCTTTTAATTATTTTCAAATATTTTCAAATAGAAATGGTGTCTAAAATTAATATAATCTAAGGCAAGTAATACAGAATTTTTCCAGGACTCTGGTGAGTTTTTGAAGATACTTCTTTCCCATCTCACACAAAGCACTCTAATTTCTGGCCATGCAGACCATCCAGGCCACAATGCAGTTGTGGTGTTATTAGATGTACAAAAGTATGCTCATATATTACTACACAAAATCTTGTCCATCCTAAGCTTAAAAAAAATAGAAATCCTACTTTGGCAAGAGAAAAGGAAACCACCTCGAAAAAGATCTTAAAAAATGAGTGGTAGATCTCTGAAATAGCTCTGCAATTCAAAATAATAGAAAATTTCCCAGAGAGATGAATGAGCAGGCAGAGAGAAGATGAGAAAGTCAATATCAACCATTATTCATGTATCTTTGCTCTCTGCTCTGTGGTTCTCCTATTCCTATATTTATCACAGTACATTTAGTTGTGAGGATGTGGATTCACGATGGCCTTGCCCGTGCACATCTGCACGTGTGCCACACAAACACACCGTGTGCTGATAATTGTGGCAGAAACCGCAGCACTGCAAGCACCACTTCACTCTGTCATCCCTATCAGGCACTTCACCTGCTTGTAAGCTGCTGACCCACCTCTCTTCTACAGGACTTGCTCTAACTTAACAAGCCTCTAGCTCACCTACCATCTTCAGTCATTTGTCTGCCTTCAAAAAGCAAATAGTGAGTTATTTCCTTCCTTTTCTTTCATAACATGCCAGAGATATCTCAGTTTACACCCCTGATACTTCAAAATCATGACACTCTCATCCACAGAAAAGCTGTTTTACTGTAGGCAAATGAAGTTTTCTTGGCTTTGTAGTTATAATTATTCCCTGAACTAAATTCTGCAGAATGGACTTAAAAGTTGCCAAACGAGCTTGCTTTAACAGGAGAAAGACTATAAACAGCATCAATACCATCTTTCAAGCTTGAATGCTGCATGAAATATGCTTGTGACATCTAAACAGTATATGGTGATACAATGTGAAATTTATTGGCTCTTGCACAAGATAGCTGATTTCATTCCCTCCTGACTTACCATGTATAAATAATGTGGTTTCCCCAAGCTTGTGCTGATGAGCTTTACCATGCTGCACTGCATCCTCCCTTGGATACATATATCTAGTGTATCTAGCTTTGGTCTCTTGGGGGGATCAAATGTTTCTGTGGCAAATGCTTCTGTGGCCCCTCTGTGAATCATGGCACTGGGCTGACTGCTTCTGTGGCAAAGCTGCCCCTTTGAAACCAGGCTGGTGGCAGAAGATGTGTGCACACTCCTTGGGGCCAGCTAGAGGTCAGTGTACTAGTGAAGGCCTCCTCAGACCTCAAAGGTTTCAACAAAGGTCTCAGCTGATGAAGCCAAACAATGCAGGAGCGATGCATGCAAGGAGGAGCTCCCTGACTTTCCACTGCTGTCTGTGCCCTAAGGCATCAGTCAGGAGCCTCAGCAGAAGCCACCCCACCTGGACATCCCACCAGAGACATCTGTGGTTTTGCCTGGCCATGAGGAGCCTGTGGCCCCCACACCACCATCAATTCTGCTGCCAAGAGATGCAGGCTGTGTAGCCCTGCTGAGGCTGTAAGAAGGGAAAAGATGGAATACTGGCACACACACATGAAGAAGACCATCACAACCTCAGCCCAGAGACCTCACACACTTGTGTAGGACATACTGTGATGAACAGGAGGAATGTTTCTGAATGTCTTACCTTGTTTGGAAAGGGAAACTTGCTTTGCTCTGCCTTTCCTGGTGTGTGAATAGCTGACAGCGGCGGAGGCCATGAATGGGTCATCTCCTGAAAAACAATATTGTTCAGCAAACTGCATTTAGAAAGTAAGTAGAAAAGGAGATAATGATAGCATATCAGTAGCAAAAGTACCTGGGTAGTGGAATATTTAAGTTACTGCAGCTTCTAGGAAATGCCCAGTTTTCATATAATCTAGACAGAACATGAGCTACAATGATTTTTACAGACTCTTGAGAGCAGTTCCTAAGCACCATCTCATTTTCCTGAAGAGATAATGTATCTTAAGTGCAAAAAGTTTGATTTTTCTGACAATCTGCAAATACATTTTAATCACACAATGTATTCGGGCTGTGAGACTCACAGAAGAGCATTTTTTTGTAGACGGGAACAGAAATTTCAATTCATGACCAAGTAATGGGGTACACGTGGACTAATCACAAAACAGATTTCACATGCAAGGTCAGAATGGTAAATGCTTACAACTTGCTAACAGTTAATTTGTAAAACTGCCTTTATAATTGTAAAGGAGTTGAGTAAGTTCCTTACTCCAAAGTGTTTGTGTCTTGCAGGACACAGATATGTGGCACGTCCCAAATGAGGTGTGCTGCACTCCACCTTTTTCTCTTCCCTGTTTTGTCTTGAGGGACATTTTTTCATACATAAGAGACAGATGTAGCTTGACCTGACTTTTATGTAGCCATCCTTTACACAGCTTCAGGTAGCAGGTAGGCACATGCTCAATACTGTTACGATTCAAGTCTGAATGAGTTGGTCTCCAAAGCAAGGCTGCTTTCGCGGGGAGGTAAATGAAATGCTTCAGCCAAGAAGTTTGCTCCTTTCTAGTGCAGAATCCTAAGGGATGGACATGTTTTTCTGACATGTTCATCACCAAGAGCCACAGTATTTGGTAACTTAAGAGAATGAATATGAGAAATAGTGCCTGTATGTTAAAGGAATTAAAGAGCAAATAACATCCTGCCTAAGCAGGGGGATTGCTGACACTATCAAGAGCCTGCCTGGCAGATGCTTTGCTGGGTTTTGCTACCATTAACAGGCTGTGGAATTGTTTCTCAGTGATATTCCAAGGAGCCATGCAGGGATCCACAATCTCCCAAAATAACCGGAGTTATATTTCCATGACTCATTCCTTTTTAAAGAGAAAAGAAATGTTCTTGTTTGAAAAAAGCGTGTGTGAGTCTCTTTCCCATCCTTCATTAGTGCTGACGGAACTGCTTCCTGACCTGGTATGGGCTGAGCTGCTGCATTTTTTACATTGTGGAAAGTCTCTGGCTGTTCTGCCAATGAAAGGACCAGCCCTTTCAACACAGTTTATTAGCCATAAATGTCACTTTTAAAGCATTCTTGATAAACAGTTTATTTCCTAATAAAAATTGCATTCTTTTATTTTATTTGAGGCTAAAAAGTTACATGATTTATTATACTTCTCTAATCTATGTGTGTGCCTCTAATCAGAGCATCATCTGGTTTGCAGTTTCAGTATCAGAATTGCTTTGCTTTTCACTTCTTTGAGGCAGATCATTCATCTTATGACTTCCTTATCTGATAAGTGCCAGCAATAACAGTATATAGCAATTTTTAATATACAGTAACTTCTTAAAACTCAGGCAGCAAAAAACATAGGCAATCAAATTTCTGTTTGCTACAAGTATCTGGCACATGTGCTACTGTTTGCAGAAGATTAAGGAATTATGTATTAAGAAATATTATAACAGTAAAGGTGTATGACTATAAATTGACAAGAAGGAGATTTACAACGTGGGTATTTAACCCTAAGTCTTATCTAAAAAAGTACCACTTTCACACCTGCTTTTCTCACTTTTCCCTCAGAGAACCATTTATTTTGTGAGAAATGTGATCTTGCACACATAGACTAGAGGTGTTTCCACTGCTAAAACCCTGTACACAGACAAAGTGTTCTTCTCTCCAAGTTGAGGTGCTGAGCCCAAAAGGGCATGTGAGAATGACTTAGTGTCCCTTTCTTCCCAAGGGCAATGCTTCACGTTATCTCTGTCAATTTAAAAATGGGGGCAGCCAGACTGGGAACATCTGGTGGCTTTGACCTAAAGTTATGCTACTTGTGAAATATTCTATTTGGTGCCTGTGATTGCCATTTGCTCAAGAAGCAGTTCTTCCAGGTTATACAGTCGGTGACCCCACTGTCACCTTCAGGGAAACATCTCCTGAGGAGCCTGCTCTGTGCCAGCACAAACCAATCTGTTACAGCAGCAGAGCTCCTTCCTCCCACCTTGCCTACCCGAGTCTGACAATGATGCCTTCATCCAGAAAAAGGACCAGAGGGTTGATTAAAAATAAGGGTGACCTTTCTTCTTTTCACCAACATTATTTCTCATCCACACTTCAATGAAAAATAGCCTTAACGGTCTTTTTTTCCCCCCCTCAACTAGCTTCTCTTCTCTTTTTTTTTACTTTGTGGTATATAATAAAGCTTTCTACATTATTTAAATTTGATGTAACCCTTTCTGACACAAAGATTTAGTAAGACCACTGATATCTGCCAGGGTTAATAACTGCCATTATCATGAATATCTGAATGTGAATTTACTAGAATAATACACTGAGTTGTGACCATATTGTTTTTCCATATTTATCTCTACCCTTTGAAATCCAGACAACTATAAAATTAAATAAAATTAGGAAAAAATAATCAGAAAGCCACCATGAAAAGTCCCAAACTACAGGCTGTCAGCACTGAGGAGTGGTAAGATTTAAATGTAGTATAATATTTTTTTGAAGATAGAAACATTAAACTATATGCAGTGTCCTTTCTGGCTGCCAAGAACAGAGCAAAAATCCTCAAAAATTTCTCCTCAAAAATCAGGAGAAAGGATTTAGGTGTCTACAAAATGTCAACACTTTGCAAGATCAAGCAGAAACAAATCCAGAATATGTTCGAGTGTGCCAATTCCCAGGATTTTAGACTCTAGCTGAAGATATTTGAGACAGATTCAAAGAACTAGAAGGGACATATGATTAGATTGAGATCTTTTATTTTTTTGGTACATGGTGTGAAATGTTTGAAAATGAAAGCCTAAATGGCAACTGTTTAACCAAGGAAGCAGAAAGGACTCAACTTTTATTGTAAAATGAACTTTCATGCCCATCTTCTCAGGTAACTTGCCTGTCTTTGGAGTTTGGGATTGGCAGTACTGGCATAAAGGCATCCACTGGACCCAAAACTGTTTGAAAAGGACTGATGAAAATTTAAATGTATTTAAGAGCCTTAGCAGCTTACAATATTGATTGACACAAAAGGTTTTTTGAAATTAGAAAGAGGAAAAAAGCACCATGAATCAAAAAATAAGTCAGAAACACCAGGCACAAGAAAAATGCTCCAGCCACTACAAGATAATGGTCCAATTTAAAACCAATTTATAGTCTTCTTCAAACTTGATTACCTTAATCCTAAAGCCCTGAACAATGTCAACTAAAGAAAGTACTGAGAAGACATTTGGGGCCCAGAAGTGGAGAAAACAAAGACTTCTAGATCAAAGAAGGAAGCCCTGATCAGGCTGCTTAAAAAATATATGTGGATATTGGTATGTCCTGCCCAACTGGAGGACAGCTTGTTTTGAGATGACAATGACTGCCCACGTCCTCCTGCAGCCAGATGCACAAGTCCAAGGAGCAGCTCAGAGACCCTCTCTTTGTTTTGGAACTTCTCCTTGTGAGAGTTGCAGCAATGCTGTTTTGCACTGGCATCTTTGTGGTGCTGCTGGTGATGGCACATCTCATTCACATGCATACTGTAACTCTACAGCCCTGCAACTCTACCCCGTCTCTACCTGTAGTAAATCAGTTTTCAGCAGTCATACATAAATGTCCAGTTTTACAAGCTATAAAGGTCCAAGCCTAGTTAATCTCACTCAACATGCCAACTTGGCTTTTCTTCTCACTGAAGGGAAAATCTACCAAAAAAAGGAATCTATAGTATTGCATATCCTTGCTCCAACTTCAGTTTCCGCAGCAACAATTAAATAACCAGACATTTCTTAGGGATTAATGACTGCTTGGCAGTGTTTTGTTTGGAGCTTTTAACCCTAGCTTGTAGATGATTTTTCAGGAAAAGTACCATGCAGAGGTAAATAATAGTATTCACTCTAGATTTAAGGCAATGCTATTTATCCAGCGTCATCGGTCCTGCTGTGTGGCACATGATACCAGGAATGGTTGAACTGATTCAGAAAAATCGTAATTAATATCAAGTAGGGAGATGGGTATCATCAAGATTTAAAGTCTTGCCACATGTATAATCTTGCTATTTGCTCAGTGCCAAAACCAGAACTTATCATTGGGTCATTAAGAAAACTGATTGTTTAATCCTCCTCTCTGCTTGTGCTCACCTAGCTGATTTTTGATTCATAAGATTTTGCCTCTCCACACGATGATTTAAGAAATACTTGTGGCACCTCATAAAGGGCCCTGTCAAACACCTTTTGAAAGTTATTTTAGCTGACTCAACTTCATCCACTGCTCTACTGACATGTCACAGGAATTACAGGAGATTTGTGAGACACAATTTTCCCTTGCAAATACTCTTGCTGGTTAGCTCAGGGGGACTGGAGAGGATCTGTCTTTGTAGTTACCTACACTGAAATGCACATTTTAGGGAAACATTAGATATATTTATTCGGCTGGAAGTCAAGGCCATGCAAAGCTAATGCAGAGCTTTCCAAGACCCTTTAGCAAGTGATCACAATACACAGTTTGAGAGCCTTTAATCTAGTTACTCTTCTGTCCTCAATTTTTTTTTAAAACATGAGTCTCTCTTTTTAACTGCTGACAATTGGCAAATATCCCTTTCAATTCAATGAAGCTATCTCACCACTAGCTGACACCATGGCTATGATTTTAGTGTCAAATATCCAAAGCAAAGAGTCAGACACTGAAACTTTTGGAGACTGTGTTGAAGCTGACAGTATTTCACTGTGGTAAGGTTCCTATCATGTGAAAAGCCAGTCTCCTTTTTTCAAAATTGGTTCCTGTAGTATCTCTTATTGTTCCAACTT